CCTGGCACGGTTTGCTTTCCCTCTCTCCCAGCGTCTGCGAAGAGCCAGGACGGCACTGCCGGCAGATCCACTGCAAAGCCGTGCCTGTGCACAACCAGGCGGACAGCCGAATGCTGGCCACCCAGTGCCCCTGTGGCCCATAATAAGAGCTCAGAGGGTGTGCCTTGCCCAGGTTGCAGGACCTGGCGGCCAGCTCCTAGCATGCATGCCTTTGGGGTCTGCGGTAGCCTGGGCACCTGGTGTGGGGTCTGGGCCAGCCAGTCTTACGGCACTGTGCCTTTGTCCCCCATGCAGTGTGCCTGCTCTGAGCTGACATGGCTTCCGCTGGTCTGCAAATCCTGGGGATGGTCCTGGCACTGCTGGGGTGGGTGAATGCTCTGGTGTCCTGTGCCCTGCCTCTGTGGAAGGTGAGCGCCTTCATCGGCAACAACATCGTGGTGGCCCAGGTGACGTGGGAGGGGCTGTGGATGTCCTGCGTGGTACAGAGCACCGGCCAGATGCAGTGCAAGGTCTACGACTCAGTGCTGGCGCTGCCGCAGGACCTGCAGGCGGCACGCGCCCTGGACGTCATCGCCCTCTTGGTGGCCCTGCTGGGCCTGCTGGTCTACCTGGCGGGGGCCAAGTGCACCACCTGTGTGGAGGACAAGGACTCCAAGGCCCGGCTGGTACTTGGCTCTGGGATCATCTTTGTCATCTCTGGGGTCCTGACCCTGATCCCTGTCTGCTGGACAGCCCATGCCGTCATCCGGGATTTCTACAACCCACTGGTGCCTGAGTCCCAAAAGCGAGAGCTGGGGCCCTCCCTCTACCTGGGCTGGGCAGCCTCGGGCCTTTTGCTGCTGGGCGGGGGGCTACTGTGCTGCACGTGCCCTTCTGGGGTGTCCCGGGGCTCTAGCCACTATATGGCCCGCTACTCAGCATCTGCTCCACAGACCACCTCCCGGGTGCCTTCCGAGTACCCCACTAAGAATTACGTCTGAGCAGGCAGGGGTAGAGGCGAGGGCTGGAGCCCTCCAGAGATGGTGTGTGGGGGTTGTTTGTTGGTTTTATCTTTCAATTTCGCTTTTTGCTGTGTTTATCTGGGGGAGTATTTTTAAATCCCCTTGATGACCGAACCATGAAGGTGATGGAGACATCCCCGGGGCTCTGCTGTTGCCGTTCTCACCTTGGGTGCTGGGGCAGAGAGGTGATGCTCGGCAGTTTCTGGGTCTTTCTCCACCCTGGACGTCGCCAGCCCGGAGCCAGCCCGGAGTTCTGGGACCAGTGTGAAGACTGCTTGCCATCCTGGCCTTTGGGACAAGATGCCCGTCTCCGAGAGTTCCTGCTGCTGCCGGAACTGCACAGTGCCCCCTTCCTCGTCGGGCCCCTGGGGCCCCTAGGGACTCTGAAGCCTCCTCACCCCTGCAAGAATGAGCAATGAGTTAGCAGAGAACTGTCCACCTCCATGTCCGTCCCCTAGCCACTGGCCTCTCACACTGTTCCTGTATCTGTCCTCCCCAAGTCAGGCCCCCTGCGCTGTGTGTAGAAGACCCTCACCTCTGCCCCCACATTTCTGCCCACACTCACTTGTTCTTGCTGAATAAAGCATGTTTGATTATGTGGCCTGGTGTTGCTGAGGGACTAGGGTACCCAGCGGGGCTGAGGAGTATGTGAGCATAGGGCACTCAGGATTCTTGTCCGGGCTCCCTCCCTGGTCAGACCCACTGGCCAGCCAGCCACCCAGGAAGGCCACCTGACTGTCCCTGCCCAACAGCCGGCACACAAACCAGACCAGAGGAAGCTGTTACAGATGCTTTTATTCTGACTGGGGTGAGGCAGAGGGGATGTGCCGGGAGGGGAACTGCTCCAAGGACCAAGCAGAGGGCATGGTTTCTTCTGTCCTTGTTTTGAAGCCAGGGAGCTTCAGGCCCTTTGTGGAGCCCATGTTCCTGGGGCAGGGAAGGCCAGAGCCATAGAGGGCCAGTCAGTGTCCTTTTGAGCAGGAGAATGCAACCTGTGGGGGAGGCAGGGGGAAGCCAGGTGGTCCCACAGCTTGGGCCTGTCTGGTGGGAAGAGAATATGAGGCAGGCCCGGCCGCTGAGGATGGGCCACTGGGTTGGCTGAGGCCAGCCCAGGAGCAAGGGCCGCCTGGGCACCTGAGCCAGTGCCGAGGCTCCAGGTTCCTCACACGTAGTCCCTCTTGTCCAGCCCAGATGCGCCCGAGCGGGAGGGGATGGAGTAGCCCAGCCTGGGGCCGCGGGGTCGCTCCACCAAGGGTGGGGGGCATGTGCAGCACAGTAGCCCCCCACCCAGCATAAGCAACGCGGCTGCTGCCCAGCCCAGGTACAGGGAGGCCCCCAGCTCCCGCTTGAGGGCCTCAGCCACCAGCGGGTTGTAGAAGTCCTGGATGATGGCGTGGGCCGTCCAGCAGACCGGGATGAGCACCAGGGTGCCGGCCAGGAGGAGGACGGCGCCTGCCGTGAGCACGATGCGGGCCTTGGCGCCCTCGTCCTCCACGCACGTGGTGCACTGGGCTCCTGTGATGGCCAGCAGCAGGCCGAGCAGGGCCAGCAGCAGGGCCACGATGCACAGGGCGCGGGCCGCCTGCAGGTCCTGCGGCAGCGCCAACAGCGAGTCGTACACCTTGCACTGCATCTGGCCGGTGCTCTGCACCACGCAGGACATCCACAGACCCTCCCACACCACCTGGGCCACCACGATGCTGTTGCCGATGAAGGCGGTCACCTTCCACAGTGGCAGGGCACAGGACACCAGCGTCCCCAACCAGCCCAGCACGGCCAGGGTCATGCCCAGGAGTTCAAGGCCAGCTGAAGCCATTTGTCCCTTAGCTAGGTCTTCTCGGCCCGGGCAGCCTGGTGGGTCAGAGTCCTAGGTGGGGCCTTGGTGCCCAGCTGGAGGGGGCGCTGTGGTGTCCTCACATCTGTGGGCCTCGAACCTGTACCTCCACGCTGTGCCTCTCACGGATGCCTCTGACCAGTCTCGGGTTCCTGCTCAACGTATGTCCCGTGGGCTGCTGCTCCCGCCACCCGCAGTCACGTCTGTCTGGCTGAGCTGGCCCCTCGACCCTCCAGACCTGCCTTGGGATTGCAGAGCCGAGTCCCTCCTGGCTGGCCTGGCGCAGGCGAGGTTCCCGTGTGGGAGCCCCTGGGAAGACTGCGGGCTCCCGCTGCAGGCGGGGTTTTAAGGACCAGGCAGGGAGGAGACTGCAACTGGGGACACTTGAGCCACAGGGCAGGAGGCGGGGCTGGGAGGAGTGGGCAGGTGGGGGATGTAGGGGGGATGTGCGCCTACAAGGGAACCCAGGGACTAAGGAATGGGGAGACGGTACCTGAAGAGTAAGGGGGACCGAAAAGTACCTGGCTCAGGTTAGACAGGTAGGAGGGCACCTCAGCCCTCCCAGCTTTGCTGCTTCCCCCCACCCCTGCCCCCGCCCCAGGTTTCATGATGCAAACGCC